GCAACATTGTTGTGAGCTCAGAGCTCCAAGTGCACTCATGAGAGGTACTGTTATGGGCTCTAGGTTTTCAACTGGATTCATGCAGGCTATTGGGATACAGGCCCACAGCTGGACCTTTTGCTCTTTAGTGTGTGGACAGATATCCTGCACTCTTTGTCTATGATTCTTTGGGTGTCCATAAAATAATTTTTTAAAATGTGTCCTGTATTGTATTATTCCCCCTGCAAAACTCCCAAAACACAACAATATTCTACATAGAAGACCTAAAAAACTCCATCAAGTTCCTTTTAGATTTAATAACCTAATTCAGTAGCATAGCACGATACAAAGTCAATACTCAAAAATAAATAGCATTTCTGTATACAAATAACAAATGCACCAAGAGAGAAATTAGGGAAACCACCTTTCCTTTCAAAACCGCCTTTCAAAATAACATCAAAACAAGAAAAGAAAAAAATACTTAGGAATCAATCCAACAAAAGAAATAAAAGCTTTATACAATAAAAATTACAGTACTCTGAAAAACTAGATCAAAGAGGATTTCAGAAAATGAAACAATATTCTTTGCTCCTGGATAAGAACAACAAACATGAAAATGGCCGCACTCCCAAAATTGTTATATAGATTCAATGCAATCCTGATTAAAATACCACTAGTATACCTCACAGACCTAGAAAAAAAAATTCCCAAACTTCATCTGGAATCAGAATAGACCTACATTAACAAAAGCAATCCTGGGCAACAAAGGAAAGGTATAAAGCATCAAATTCCCTGAACTGAAATTATGTTACAAAGTTACTGCAATAAAATCAGCATGTTACTGGCAAAAAAAAAAAAAAAAGAAAGAAAAGAAAAGAAAAAGAGACCTAAGGATCAATGGAACAGATTACAAGACACAGACACAACTATAGACACATGCAACCACCTTATCTTTAAAAAAAAGGGGCCAAACAGGTTCATTTGAAGAAAGATAATCTCTTTAATAAATGGTGCTGGAAAAACTGGCTTTGCTCATGCTGAAGGCCAAAAATATATCCATGCCTATCACTGCACAAAGCTACAGTCAAATTGGATCAAAGATTTAAATATTAAAACAGAAGCACCAAATCCACTGGAGGAGAAAGTAGGTAGAAATGTTGAAGACAAAGAGGTAGATAGAGAGTTCATAAATAAAAACCAAACTACACAGGAAATACTTCAAAAGATCAACAATTGGAATCTTTGTCAAAAGTTTTTTCACATCAAAACAAATCACCAACAGTAAATACAAAACCTATAAATTTGGAAAAAAAAATATAGCCGACTGTCCCTCAGACAAAGGGCTTCTATCTAGAACATATAAAGAATTAAAATGAATCAGGCCTCCAAAATTCTAAGAGCCAAACCAAAAATGGGCATCTAAGATGAATATACACTTCTCAGATGAAGAAATACAAATGGCAAGCAAACATATGAAAAATGTTCAGCATCATTGGTGTTTCAAAAAACACAAATTAAAACAACACTGAGATTCCATCTCACCCAGAAAGAATGGCTATCATCGAGAAGTCAACCGATAAATAATGCTGGAGGGACTGAGAGGAAAAAGAAACCCTTCTCCACTATTGTTCAGAGTGTAGACTGGTACAACCCCTGTGGAAATCAATGTGGAGATTCCTCAAAAAGCTAGTATTCAAAGTCCCATTCAACCCAGGAATTCCTCTCCAGGGTATTTTCCAAAAGAACTGAAAACATCATACCACAACAACATATGAACACCCGTGTTTATGGCAGTGCAATTTGTTATAACTAAATCTTGGAAACAACCCAAATGCCCATCAGCTGAGGAATGGATAAAAAGATGTGGTAGTTTTACACAATGGAGTACTACTCAACTATAAAAAAAGATAAACCTGAGGATTTTATAAGTAAATGGATACAACTAGAGACCATACTTATAAATGAAATAAATCAGACCCACATGTGCAAACATGATATTGTCTTGATAATGTAAGAATTTGAAAGAGGAAATAAAATCTGAAATATGCAATTGATACTGCGAAAGGGAAAGAATGTGTTCAAAGGAAAAACTGGGATGAGAAAAAGTATGAAAGAAAGAAGAAAGGTTAAAACATTTATTTATGTATATATACAAGATAGCTTGAATAATTATGTGCTGATTTCTGATGGTCAATAGAAAGAAGTTAATACTTATTCTTTTCTTCTCTTTTTTAATTTCTTGTATCTTTTTTTTACCTATTTTGCATTCCATGCTTATATCTGGTAATCTGAGCAACTAATCTGAAGACATTGTGCAATATAGCAATCACTGTTGAATTTCTATTATATTATTTAGTAAAATTTTGTATTGTTTCTTTCTCTCTTTTTTTAATGTGTTTGGTATAGGGTCTTGCCACCCAGACCCTGTACCAAACAGGGTTGAACTCATAGTGATCCTCCTGTTTCAGACTCCCCAGCACTGGGATTACAGGCATGTGCTACCACACCCAGTTTTGGTGGCCAACTAGAGGCACACAGGGCAGAGGCAGCATGGCATGCCACACTGGGGATCAAATCCTGGTCCTCATGCTTCCAAGCAAGCACTTAGACTGCTGAGCTATCTCCTCCACCCTCTGTATCATTTCTAATTTTTTTCACTATATTTTATCCACTCTAAAAAAATAAAAAAGAATATTTGGATAATTATGCATCTGTAAGCTTCAAGATGAAGCATTTACTCTTTTGTGTAATTTTCATTTTTCTCTGTATGCCTTTGTAGTACATAATGAGGACATTCCTGCATTTTTATATAACACATCTCAATTCTTTCTTCATCCCTTTCCCCTTCCCTCTTTCTCCCTTCCTCTCTCCATCTCTTAGCTGCCTTCCCTTTTGCAACAGAACTATCTCTACTCCTCACTATCTATCTGTTATTTTGTTCTTAATTTATATTTTGAGTTTCTCTGATATATTTTACTTAACATAGTCTCAAGGTATTTGTTTTCAAAACACACCTTGAACAGATGTTTACCATTGTGTTGGTAAATGAGTAATAAAAGATTTGGGGTTAGGAAAACTGTATGGAAGGATTTTTAATTTCTCTAGTCTCAAGGGTAGACCTCACTATCCTCAACTTTTACACACAGATGTTGGGAATAAACTGACCACACATTTTGTAGGTTACCCATTGGCCTTGAACTAGTGAAGAGAATGTATCATATGAGGCTCCCAGAACCAGAAATTTGGGCCAGAATAGAAACTTTTCTATATCTGTACTAAAGCAATCACTTTAACAAAATATTTCTCTTTAAAATTTAGAGAAAGACTATTTTTAAACAGTATGAGGTAGACCGGAAACATATCAAACATGATTTGAATTAGTTTCCTTAGGAGTTACTTTGAATTCCAAAGGGGCAACTAAATGTAGTTCATGCCATCCACTTCAATGTATGTACTGCCTATTATTCATTGTCATTATTTTTATTTGTTTACTTTTTATAAACACAGATTAGTTGTGTATATTAGTGTTCAGGGTGATATTCCAACACATGCCTATAGTGTGATAAAATCCACCCACATCCACGCTCCCTCCCCTCACTGTAATTATTTTCAATAGTGTGGCCTCTCTGATCATTCACCTCAGGGCACTCATTTACTTCTAAAACGGTGTCCCTTCAGGTTATTATGTTACAGGGGCGCTTACCGGTGTGCTAAAGTGCTCGTGGATTCTAACTGATTCCATTTTCTCCGCCACATGCTCAAGTGACAGCTCGAGGAGCAGTTTAGAATTTGACTGCAAAAGCCACTGAAGGGCCGTTCTGTTGATATGATGTCGTTGGAGTTTCTTACAAAATATGTTCAACGATCTGAACTTGCTTATAACTGTTACTTGAATTTCTCATTGTAAATCCTCTAGCTCTTATGAGTCACAGTGAAGTAACAGTCTGTTTATCAACATTTGCAATAGCATAACTTTGTTTTCCACAAGCCAGATTGGTTTTGAAAAGTGTGTGCTAAAGAGTCTGACTCAGAGCATTTTGAGATGCTGCAGTAT